AGATATGAATGGTAGATTAAGTCGTTTGGTATATAAAAGCATCGAATCAAAGGCTTTTTGTGGCGGAAAGCTGGTTTGGTTTGGTTTGTTCTTTTTTTTTTTTTTTAAATCATTTAATGTGTATTCAGCTATCTAGCTATGACACATGACCGGCGCTATGTATACATGTGGGATGACTCTTTTGACGTTAGAGACACTCATACTCTGGATTTCATTTGCAAATACCACTATGAGGTATGTTCGCTTACACAAACAGTCAACCCTCCTCCGTAAGTACCCACCAAAGGGAATTTAAAAACCTTTGATTATCCAAGCATGCCTTCGTCATCCATGCATACCAGCGCCGCGAGAAATGTGGTTGTGTTTTGCCGGATTCGAACCAGCGATCTACTGTCTCAAGTGGGATATGTGTCCAAGCTATCCAGACTCTACTTGGCAGACCGGCCAAGATGATGTACCACCGCACCATCCAACCATGGCAGTTTTTATAGTGTCGCCTGCACTCTCGCAGCCGAAGACTTGGCATGCACAAAGCTCAATTTGTAAAAACTCCTTTCCAAAACTCAGAATTCCACGCCCGTCGAGACTGTATCCAATCCTCTGCATCATCTTATTAACTTGTCCTGATCCCTCTCACATCCATCCCAAGGAATTGTCTTCCAGATTTGTGCGCCACGCTTTGCTTCCTCCGACGGGTGTAAATATCGGCGTGGGTGTGTATCTGGCGACCAGCTAAGGCCAGAGAAAGTCGACGAGAGGTGTGGTCATTGGGATGAGGATGTACTAGGTCGTACTTGTACACTTGATGAAGATTAGGTAGGAATCGATTTCGTTGGCAGTGAAAGATTGATATGGTGGAGTAATTTGAATCATTGCCTCGTGGGCCAACTTGTTCGGTATTGCGAAGTTTGACTGAACTTGGCTCTGGGAGAGTATTTCACTCCCAGGTTCGTAGAGGACACCGCGTACAGGTGCTCAGTCTTGCCCTCCGTTTGGTTTGTTCATTAACGTGCTGGTTAAAGTGATTCCCGTTGCACTCCTACGGGAGCTTAAGCAAGGGTGGGGCCGGGCTGGATCAGGTTGACTACCAATAAGTACATCTACCTCGTCCCACCTAAATGACCGGACCGCCTCAGACTTCACCCATGTGTTGAATCATGTCAAGCCCAACCGTCCAGAGAACCCTCTTTTGCTGCACCGAAGCGCAAATTCCTCCTCAGCCTCGGCCACCACGCGCCCGAGCCCTTGACACCTTCGCAATCTGTAACTTTTGTTGAGCGTATTGGTTTGAAAAAGCTTGTGGCTGCTAGGCACAGATTATATCACTTGGTGAAGCGAGTAGGAAAGTAAAGGAGTCTGTAAATCTGTTGTGGAGAGTTGTTAATTACTCCCATTAGGATACAGAGTGCTGTATAAACTATATTTTGTAATAATAAAATTTAATGGTTGGTATTTACGTCAAAGCGCATTAATACTAACCTCACAATTAATGGGAGATTAGTAATCTGTATTATACAGATCCCTGTCTTTACCATAATTGGAAGCACCAATTTCAACAACTTTTCCCTTCGATTCATTCCCAGCTTTGGCTCACCTCAGTATCTCCTCATCTCATCCAGGGGTCGTTTCTTCATTGGAGAACTCATCCAGTCGCCCACCAAGGCCTCCTCAGTTTGTATTCCCTTTTGATTCCTTCATGCGGCATTCCTTTGTCCCTAAGCCAGTCACGCCATCCCAGGAGCTTTGTAGAATGTCCACCCCTTCGGCCTTGCCTCGTCGCTGCCGTACCCCCAACCGTGGAGGTCGAAAACGCGACTGAGAGCTTAAGACCGAAACACCGATGCCCTAGCCTTTTTCGAACGCTGTATTTGGTATGTTGGCAAAATTTTGTACGTATTTTGTCGGTGGCAATTCGTCGCAGGTCGAGCTGTTGGTGCCCTTGGCCGAAGTGAGGACGCATTTGAGGCTGGTACTTCGACCGTGCCTTTACAGCGACTGGCAGTTGCTGAGGGTCGGACATCCTCTTGCTTCTTTCATGGCAATTTTACTTTTGGAGGTATGGGATTGCTTCGGTAGGTGGTAAGATGATTGTGGAGAGGGCCGTGAGATAAGTTTGGCTGGGAGTGATTTTGCAGAGAAAAAAAATAGATCTTGAAGATGTCGGTTGTTGTAATACGAACATCAGACAGGTTAGAGCCTGTCTGCGGTTCGTATCTGGGATATAGATGGTTGATTTCGTTGAGTTGTGCAGCCGTGAAATCTCTGCAAGTCAGATTTTCGACCAAAAATGAGCCAACATCACTCCTCCCGATCGCCAACTCGACGAAAACTCTCAAATGGGGCTTTTTTGTCAACAATTATAACGCAATACCGTGTCCCACGTATCTTTCTTAAGAGTAACGATGATATGTATCTTCAAGAGTAGGAAGTTAAGTCATACTATACACATCCCTGGTCTTAGTCTGAGGGATTGACAATATAATAGAGATCTTCATCATGAGGGATGATAGGCGACTGAAAAGTGGGGTAGGCGAGAGAAGAGATCACAAAAGAGTATTCTGGGACTCTTTCTCATCGAGTGTTTACGACCCTGAGGTGTTGGAGGGTGCCAAGGCTATGATTTCGAATAGTGCTACCAACACTTTAAATATAGGCAAGGTTGGAAGGTTTTGTAGTCCTCCTTCAGGTCGTCATCTCCCCTAATTTTTGTCGGTATTGCCTGGATGCCTTCCTCAATTGGGAAATAGAGGACTGTGAGGCCATATCTCGCGCTGTGGCTATATATAAGATGGCAATGGCATTTAAGCGTAACCAAAGATATTCCTGTTTTCCTTTTGATTGATATTCACGGTTGAGGAAAATGTAAGAGTCTCTGGCATAAAGGTTTCGAGTGATGTCTGCGAATGCACCCACTACATAAGTGGTTCAAATATCAAACTGAGTCAACATCGTATATAGTTGTCGGGGAAGGACTGGCCTTTGTTATGAAACTGGGTTATGAGTGGATAGAGATATACCTGTACTATTGGTTGATCAAGCTGGTGTGCAAGCTGGTGAGGTGTTGGGGTCTATCTATAGGTGAGTTGAGACTGTAGTAGATGAGAGTTTAGAATAGTTGATTGATAATATCTACTTGCAGAGTTATTACTCTGTTATATACGTGTCTCCATCGCTTGTCCTCACTCTACATGACCACTTCAGTCCTTCTCTAACTCCAACAGAGAGTTCCTTGACTCATCTGTATCCCTCATCAATTATGTGCCACTACATCCTAGACGTATATTCATGACACAGAACCCCGGAGATACTGTGTTCACTAGTGGTGGCTCCTTGGCTCAGTTGTGTTGCTTGTTGTTGCGTGGTGGCAGGGCATCCCAGGTATGAGACTTGTCGGGCACCACGCATCTGCCGCGAGCTGAGTCTTCTAGATCAGATTCATGATGTTCACAATAGCCTTCACTGTGGAATGCTCTGAGTGCTACGCTTGTGCCCATCATGAATAAAAATTTATCCATCCATCCATACATTGCTGACATACTATAGGAATTAGCATTCGGCTTGTTTTTAGTGTAAAGTTTGAATCCAAGGCCATCTGGCACATTAGGCTTTCTCCTAACCTATACCAGACAGTGTATAGTGCTCCCGCCACCTTTTACCCAAGAAAAAGAAATCGTAGCAATGGAAACTGCGTGCGCGGGAAAAGTCTCAGAAAGCCTGCAACCCCAGACAGGCGAGGCTTAGACACCGGGAACACATGAGGTACGCATATCTATCAATATCTCCTTTCCCTGTAACATTTGAGGCAAACTTGATCCATTCCACCATCTCCGTATCGGGTGCTGTGTATGCTCCGGAAACTCATCGGAAGGCTTCTTCACCACGATCAAGAGCTGGTGATGGGAAGTGCTTCGACCATAACATCTGATCTGATCGTAGTTAGCTTCATGACAATGATACCCGGGTATTGTGCAGGGGAATAAAGGTGATGAAGAGTGCGAAAGTGATTGGGAATACTGAATGAAATGAGGATGGAGTTGTTACCCAATCTCGATTCTACAGACTTTACATTGAAAGCTGGAGGCTCGTAGGAGACACTTCTAATAAATATTGAGTTTTGTTCCCCAAGAGGTAGACAATCAAACGAAGACTATCGAAGAAAGTCAATGTTTTTATAAATGGTTGGAAACTCTGTAGATGGAACTCATTACGCTTAGTTCTTCGACACGAATACAACCTTCAGATCACTTTTAGCATACCGTCTAGATCACTTTTAGCAAACCCTTAAATATCCCTTCTAACACGGTTTCATATCCTTCATATTCATTTCGCAACCTTATGATCAACTTTATTATTTATGACATTCTCGAGTGCCTACCGGGTCAACCACTAGCCTGGCACATGGTTACTCAACATAGAGCTTCTGGAGCAAGGTTTGTAGCTATAAATTTATTTCACTGTAGGTGGAAATACGGGTGTGAACTGTTTGGAGGTCTTGGGTAAATTATTTTGTACAAAATCTTTCTATTTGTGTATAGAATACGTAGGGCCTACAGCCTCATAAACTAAAACTTCAAATTATGGAATCATATGCCTTGGCTGCCACTATCTCTATTCGACTGCTAGATGAAGATGCTTTCTATCATTTTGTGCTAATTTGCTATCTCGATTGTTTAAAGCCGCTAATCACCTACATGAGAATCTAAGTCAAAACCGCAACTTCTTGCTCGACTCACATCATGCTGTGAGTATTTGTAGTTGGAGACTTGAGAATAATTTTTACTTCAGATATTGGAGGGTGTTCTGATACACGCACCGAGTCTCTCGAATAAGTTATCACGCCCAGCTCCGCTCGTTGTAAGTTCCAAAGGCCAGCCGTATCAAGGCTTGATATTCTAGACATTGATAGAACTGATAGGTACAATTTATACCGACTCGATATAACAAATGAGGACCAGGTCTGTTCTGGCAATTTTCTAACATCGTTTAGGTTTTTGGTGACGTCATATCATAATCATATCGCCTTCTAGATCCAGTCGCATTTCCTCAGGTGGAGAGGCTGCATCTTCGAATAAATTTATCTCGTCCATTCCTTTTAGTGTGTACTCCACCAGATAGCTTGCATCCACTAGTTCATCTATACTTTTGTAATGTTTTTCAGAGTATACCTTGAGGGCATTCCACACTTCCTTGGCACTCTGAGTGTCTACCTGATCCTTAACCTTTAATGATGATAATCTTGAGGACGGATAGCTTTTTAACAAAGTCCACAAAATACGCTGAGCTATAGGTGATGTTTTTGCATTTGTGTTCCAGTCACGTAGTCGCAACAATAACGAGAAAATTTGATCATCGGAAAGTGAGGCTAATACGGTGTCTACGGCCTTAAGTCCACATAAACTGTCTGTTTCTGGTACAGCAGTATAAATTTCTCGAAATAGTGATAGCAGCCGTCTAGGGTGGTGAAGCTGAAGTGCAAGAACTATCGCTTCTCTGTAAGATTTCTCATGAATATAGTTTTGTAGCTTTTGTTCTTGCTCCACTAATTTGGTGATAGCAGCTGTTGATGCAGCTTGAGTCGATGAGGTAGTGTCTTTCCAAAAGGTTACTGTAGAGTCACCGGAGCCTGAAACAATCATATTTGTAATGGGATGAACAGCTAAAGCCCAGACACGATCTTCATGATTGTCCAGAGTGCAAGCGACCTCACCAGTATTAACATCCCATACTTTGACTAAGCCATCTCCACCTGCGCTCACAACATGCACGTATTTTTTGCGTTCAACGGATGGTGAGGGCTGTAGCCAGCAAACTTTGAGTACGCTGTTTGAGTGGCCTTCAAAAGTGCTAAGACAGGAAAAATCTGACAAGCTCCAGATTCGAATCGTTCTATCACCGCTGCCAGTCATGACAAGGCCCTTTTTTGTCGAAGGCCCTGTTAGTCCAATCAGACCTAAAATTTCGGGGGGTGAAAATTTAACAGACCAGACACCGCGTTTATGACCACGAAGAACGCCTTGAACCTCCCCTTCTTCACAGTCCCATATTTTTACAGTTTTATCCTGAGATGCTGATGCAAATAATTGAGAGTTGTGATTAATTTCAATGGCATTGATATCTTTATCGTGTGCCTTGCGAGTATACTTTGCACGAGGGGCCTTACCGTTAGGGGCAGGAGCATCGCTACAAATTGGAATTTCCCACTTTTTTATTGTCTGGTCCTGAGAACCAGTAAGAACAAATGAGGGTGGATATTCAAGAGGTGACTTAAAAGCAGGTGAGGATTCTAGAGGTGGTTGATGCGGTAAACAGATAGCACCTATGGATTCAGCATGACCCGTAAGAGTCTTGTAGCAGCTAAATGATGAATTGACGGCATCTATTCTCCACAATCGAGCTGTATTATCTTTGGAGCCGGTAGCTATCCAGTGTCCAGACCAGTCAATATCAAGGCAGATTACGATGTCTTCATGACCCTGTAATTGTGTAACATCTGCTCCAAAGTAGGTTGCCACACCACTAACATTATCTCCTTCGCATAGGGAGACTATTCTTACATCCTCAGAGTTTGTAGCAAGTGCTAGAAGGGACTGATCTGGAAGCAAGTAGCCTAAGTCAATGATCTCATCATGAGTTCCCGAAATCCTACGTATAATTGGTAGAGAAGAGATCATCTCAGTTGGAACGTGTTTTTGGAGAGGAGAAGTGGAATAAAGTGTCATGGTATAGTCCGTTTGTGCCGTGAAGATAAAATCCCCTGCTTGTCTAGAGCTAATAATTGCACCTGATTCAGCCTTAGGAGGCTGAGGAGAAGTGATTTCTAGCCAATCTTCTGATCGCCAGATTCGAATGTTTCCGCTGTTTCCACCTGTGTAGGTATATTTTCCCGATTCTAAAAATCCCGCACATTCCACCTCCTCAAATGTAGGTACAACCTTTATAACTTTCCAGGTGCTGACGTCCCACCACATTATCGTTTTATCACGACTAGCAGTCAACAACATCTTTTTCTCCTCTGAGTACGCTAGTGTCGTTACATCAGAAACATGTGAGTCGAGAGTAGATGAGCAGCGTCGCCTCTGTAGATCCCAGATTCGAACTTTACCATCTTGACTTCCGGATGCAAGATAAAAGTTGTGGTGTTCAATGCTCTGAGCTCCATTATCGCTTCTACTTTTCAATTTCTGGCCTTGGTTTCTAATTGAAATAAAAGTTTTTTCTTCATTTTTGTTAGTTGCGTTGATATCGAAGAAGTGTAATGCTGTAATTAGCACGTTTGGTCCATTAAAGTTGTGTGTTACGTATCCACCCTTGAGATCCCATACTTTGATAACACCGTCGGCCGCACCCGTCGCAATAAGTGAGCTAGATTGATCGACCGCTGTAACAATGACAGGCGTCGTGTGCGGCTTGAGGGTACGTACAAGATCACATTTGTTTGGGATACTTGATTCTAGAGTTGATGAGAGAGCATATATGCGCATAGAAAGGGATCGTGAGCAGACGATTAAATGTGAGGCAGACGGCGTTACTACGTATCTATTAGTTGTGACAAAAGGCGGGTCAGTGGGAAATAACAAGCCAATGTAGAAATAAGCTCTGAATCCTGACAGAAAATTAGAAAACTATGCGATTAGGAAAGTTGATCCCATACTCCCTCAATTTTTGCCAATTGCCCTCCTGTCGAAAGGTCTGTCAAGAGAGCATCCTCTCCAAGAGTTGTGGCAAGAATTCTTCCATGTTCGTCTAAATCAATGCTACCACCAGTGTATATCGGCCGTAATGTTTCTGCTACTTCATAGGATTTTTGGTATAGCGCTTTATTTGACATGGCTTGAGAATTTTAGCAATGATTATTCTACGCTCAAAATTTCGAGCGCATCAGCAAGGCTCGCAAAATAATTTTTGCGAGCCTTGTGGACTTAAGCCTGATAGTCAGACCCACAACTTATTATTCTGTATCGGTTAGTGTCTACTATTGTCTTGTTCATTTACGTGCTAGGTAAAGTGATTCCCCATGGCAGCACATAAAGGGAGTTAAATTAGGACAAATAATTTGGAAATGATAAATTTGGAATGAAAGGGTATTGATTTATGACGAGGGAAGGCTAGAACTATAAATTATAAATGTGTTTTAGCTAGATAGCTGAATACACAATGGATTAAAAAAAAATAGTAATTCCCGTTGCACTCTTACTGGAGCTTAAGCAAGAGTGGGGCCGAGCCGGATCAGGTTGACTACCAATAAGTACAAGTGCCTCGTCCCACCTAAATGACCGGACCATCTCAGACTTCACCCATGTCTTGAATCATGTCAAGTCCAACCATCCAGAGAACCCTCTTTTGCTGTGCCGAAGCGCAAATTCCTCCTTAGCCTCGGCCACCACGCGCCCGAGCCCTTGACACCTTCGCAATCTGTAAACTTTCCATTCGATTTATTCGCAGCTTTGGCTCACCTCAGTATCGCCTCATCTCATCCAGGGGTCGTTTTCTTCATTGAAAACCTCATCCAGTCGCCCACCAAGGCCTCCTCAGTTTGTATTCCCTTTTAGTTCCTTCATACAGGTATCGATTAGTGTCGGGGTTGTTTGTGCTACTTGAGTCGTAGACAATCTAGCACGTTAGGCGCTGACAGACGAATTCTTCACCTTCCAGTGGTGCCAGTGTTATCGCTTAGTATGCTCTGCATATCTGGAATAGCCAAGAAGAATCGCATCCGAATCGAAGTCGAAAGCAAACATATGCATATCTGTACTTGACTATTTCTCAACCATGCAGCACTCACCATTATCTTTAAAGTTCTCAACCTCTTTCTAACCATGCATCATCTTGCCTCGACGATCAATAAAGAAGTGGCTCCAATTGCATACAGGAGCTTACCCCATTAATTTCTAGCCATCTCTCTCTACATATTAACGACGCTATTTATATCCGCAAGGAGGGAATCAAGTCGACAAATACAAAGCCTGGGTCTTGGCTTATGGGGGACTATTGCTCTAATGGGACAAACAACTTGAGGGAGAACAGGCGCCTGAGATGTGGAGCGAGAGGGAGAACAGATCCCTGAAGAGCATGCCGGAACTGATATTTTCGAGAGGGTTTCAACGTCGGAACGTTTGTGGGCGCCAAGACAGAGATTTCAGCCAGTTAGCCAGGAGGACTTCTTTTTTCGATGAGTCAACAGCACTCCCCAGCGCCCTGGACGGCACAAGAGAATTTGGGCTAAGCTACCATACAGCAATCACGTTCTGTCAAGACTTTTCTGAAATTTCAGCATGACCTTCGGGAAGGAGTTGGAAGGAGGCTAGAAGGGCAGAGAGTGAATTTCCGGAGGTACCCACAAGTCTGCGGCGCCCAGCTGGCAAGCCTCTTCGAACGCTTCAGAAGGGGCAGTATGTCTTCGGATTTATTTCTAATGTCGGTATTAGAAGAGTCCCGCACTCAGTGTTTTTTTGCAATTTTTCCCGGCTGCCATACACCCGCAAATGGTCATCGTTTCGTTGGCTGAAGAGGGGAGATAATGAAGGGCTAAGGGCTCCTCTAAGTGTATGATTGAAAGAGAGCTTGTGAGGGGCAGCACTGTTTGAGGGGAGATGTATGGGAGGCATAGGAGGCATAGGAGGGGATATACTACTGGTATAGGTATCCTTGGCCTGTAGGCAGAGAAGACTTGCATGTCCAACATAGTCATAGACTTAGAAAGGACAATAAAATGGTTAATGATAAATACATTGGCTTTAGGATCTCTAACAACCTTCTGATTTAGGTTGGATAAGGAGGTATGTTGGAGTTAACACTAACATGCGGAGTACCCCGCTTTCATGTGTAGAGGGGGATTTCTCGCCGCACTTAAAGTAATATAGCAATTTTCTTACAACTTACTATCCATTAAACATCAGTAAAATTCGTCGTAACCCTAACTCATTCTCATGCTTGGTATGTCATTCCTACAATCTCCGGAAATATCATAATTGGTCTCTCTAGACAAGCTTAGGCCTCCACAGTTTATGTCTAGGGACAAAAGGAAGGAGAAAATTCCAAATCGAACCGAGCATGGATTGATTCATCCACAATTGTAAGACAAGTTTTGGAGCAGATATCTAAGCGTCCAAGCTAATGACGGATGACGAATGAGTCAAAGCTAGAGGGTAAAAATAACGCTGTCTATGTAGTCCATTGAAGATTGTAAGAAGTCAGAATAATCAGAGATATCAAGTAGGTAGCGCTGTTGATACAAAACTGACAACAAAATAAGTTTTTAGTTTCGTCTCGGTCGTTACCGGAATAAATGTGTACTACGACCTCGATGACAGAGGTGTCATTTTTCCTTATTTATAGACATAATTAAGTTTTCCCTTTGGTGGGTACTAACGGAGAAGGGTCGACTGTTTGTGTAAGCGAACATACCTCATAGTGGTATTTGCAAATCAAATCCAGAGTATGAGTGTCTCTAACGTCAAAAGAGTCAGCCAACATGTATACATAGCACCGGTCATGTGTTATAGCTAGATAGCTGAATACACATTAAATGATTCAAAAAAAAATATAAAAAAAAATAATTAAGTAATAACAACAACCTTAGCTGTACTAGAAGTCCTTTGGCAATGTAACTTTTATTCAAGAATTTTCCTCATCCAAATTGGCTTAACAAGAGAAAGAATGGCAAGGAATGAGAAGTTATCTGCGGAAACGAGATACGTGTAATAATTATTATCAAAGACTCATGATGTGAAATGAATGTCATAGTTACTGTAAAGTTAAGTCGTGGTGGTATAAGGTTCCTAGTGGATTAGACTGTGCGATATTTGAGATGTGTTTAGTTTTCAGGTGGTATGGGTTACGGGTGTCTTATGGCTCCAAACGACTAAAATGTATACTTGACCTTAAGATTATATATGACTCAATCTCTTATTCATACGAGATATTCTCTATTGAAGTGAAGGATTTCTTATCTTCTGCATGGACTCTGACGAGTATATATTTACATTAGCCTTACAATTTGTCAGATCTGCGTAGTAATCTAGGGGTCTGTGAATTTGGAGCCCTCAAATCTAATAAAAAATTCTGAAACATAGTTCCCTATTTACAGAACGTTACATAATCGCTTTTCTATTCCATACTTTTCTATATTACTACATCTAATTCCCATCCACAATCTTCTCAACGAGCTGAGATTCAAAAGTTGAGTTTATTGGTGACTGGCATTCGAAGCCGACATCACCAAGCAATTTATTACTCCTTTAAGAAACCCGGGATCATTTCAGAGCCGCACAGACCTTTACATCTAACGTTCCTGTAAGAAGTTGTTTTGTAAGTAAAACCTAAAAAGTTTCAATCAGTCATTCTGCTGTAAGCCAATTTACACAAATGGACAACTGAAGACTTCACTCACGAGATTCAATCTTTTCACCTACTGAAATAGTAGTGAAACAACGATCATCAATTTAAGTAGCTTTTCTGCGATCTTCCAACTTTCCACTACCTGTTTCATACGAATAATGTCAGTACAAAAAGTTTTTCTATAATGTTTATTTGCGCATTTCGGATGGAATCCAAATCCCGCATTACTCATACATACCTTGACAAATGAGATTTATCCCTAATTTTCTCTTATACTGTCATCATCTGAATTTCCTCATCAAATGCCGCCATGGTTGAGTTATACAACGCGTTATTATCCTTGTAAGATCCTATAAAAAATGTTCCGTTTGTGAGAAATAATATCCTCCAGAACTCCTTTGCTAGCCTCCTCAATCCATAAAACTTCGGCGAGAACTTGTTCAAAACATCTTCTTCGATATTTGATTCTTTCATTTGAGTATTCTTAAATTCAAAGATCTCTTTGGCAGTCCCTGTGAACCATTTCGAAAGGTAATCTCGGTTCTGTTCTTTGCCATTTTCCCATCCGCGACTCATGCTTATCCATAAGAGGACATAAAAGAACGACTCCAAGTCATGGCGGTATGAATGATTGACTATGGCACCTGTTTTTTCACAACTCCCACTAAGAAGTTCTAGTGCCATAAACTCCATAGTCCCGGTCATTGTCTGAGTCTTTCTCTGAGCTTTGTCATCGGACAGCAATACAGCCAGGTCTAGATCGATCAAGAATCCCCTCCAGTCCTTGCTAACATCGGAACCAGTCAAAATAATGTTATTTTCTGATATATCCCGGTGCAGTATCATGGCATCTTTGAGTAGGGACCTGTGCGCCTTGATCGCATCACGCAGCCCGATGACCAGTTCAATGGGCGATTCAACCTTGTGGATCGGTCGTCCAAATGGTGTTGTCGCAACGGCCGAGTACTGACGATCTCGGATCCCTGCAACTCTGACCTTAACTTTGAATTCGGGCCCGATAATATCGTGTGTGACATTCAAATGATCACTTCCGAAAATGAAAGGCGAGATTCCAATGACTTTTTCCATATCGGGAAAGTTGCTGGTGCCGGAATTACCGTTAGTTGTTCCATTGTCTGCATTGTCTGCATTGCTTGAAAGTTGAAGCCTCTTGATTCGACCGTTGACTTCGTCGCTCTCCAAGTTCTTCCGTTTCTCCCTAGTAGACTGTCTGTCTCCTCCAATAGAGATTTCGGCATTATTAGTGCTTTCATCCCCTGGAACACAAGACACATCTTCTTCGGTGATGACATTCAACGATACAGATGGCCTATTTTCCGTGACACTTTCTGCCATGACTGATGCTTTCATATTGTTAGTAAATATTTTTCGAGATGTGGATGAAGAATTGGCTCACATCCAGCTGAGGATCTTGCCCTTTTACTCGACCGTTCATATTTAGTCCCGGCTTCGTTTACTTCGCCCTCTCGC